TGTGCTATACCTGTAATGTGCTATACCTGTATAGTGCTACACCTGTAATGTGCTATACCTGTAATGTGCTACACCTGTAATGTGCTACACCTGTAATGTGCTATACTTGTATATTGCTACACCTGTAATGTGCTACACCTTTAATATGCTACACCTTTAAAGTGCTACACCTGTAATGTGCTATACTTGTATATTGCTACACCTGTAATGTGCTATACCTGTAATGTGCTACACCTGTAATGTGCTATACCTGTAATGTCCTATACTTGTATATTGCTACACCTGTAATGTGCTACACCTGTAATGTGCTACACCTGTAATGTGCTACATCTGTAATGTGCTATACCTGTAATGTGCTATACCTGTAATGTGCTACACCTGTATTGTGCTACATCTGTAATGTTCTATACCTGTATAGTGCTACACCTGTAATGTGCTATACCTGTAATGTGCTACACCTGTAATGTGCTACACCTGTAATGTGCTATACTTGTATATTGCTACACCTGTAATGTTCTATACCTGTAATGTGCTATACTTGTATATTGCTACACCTGTAATGTTCTATACCTGTAATGTTCTACACCTGTAATGTGCTATACTTGTATATTGCTACACCTGTAATGTTCTATACCTGTAATGTTCTACACCTGTAATGTGCTATACTTGTATATTGCTACACCTGTAATGTTCTATACCTGTAATGTGCTATACTTGTATATTGCTACACCTGTAATGTGCTATACCTGTAATGTGCTATACCTGTATAGTGCTACACCTGTAATGTTATATATCTGTAATGTGCTACACCTGTAATGTGCTATACCTGTAATGTGCTCCACCTTTAATGTGCTACACCTGTAATGTCCTATACCTGTAATGTGCTACACCTTTAATGTGCTACACCTGTAATGTTCTATACCTGTAATGTGCTATACCTGTAATGTGCTACACCTTTAATGTGCTACACCTGTAATGTGCTACACCTGTAATGTTCTATACCTGAAATGTGCTACACCTGTAATGTGCTATACATGTAATGTGCTACACCTGTAGGGTGCTATACCTGTAATGCGCTACACCTGTAATGTGCTACACCTGTAATGTGCTATAACTGTAATGTGCTACACATGTAATGTGCTACACATGTAGGGTGCTATACCTGTAATGTACTACACCTCTGATGGTCTACACCTCTGATGGTCTACACCTCTGATTGTCTACACCTCTGATGGTCTATGCCTGTAATGTGCTACACCTGTAATGTGCTACACCTCTGATTGTCTACACCTCTGATGGTCAACACCTCTGAGGGTCTACACCTCTGATGGTCTAGACCTCTGATGGTCTACACCTCTGATGGTCTACACCTCTGACACCTCTGATGTTCTACACCTCTGATGGTCTACACCTCTGATGGTCTACACCTCTGATGGTCTACACCTCTGATGGTCTACACCTCTGATGGTCTACACCTCTGATGGTCTACACCTCTGATGGTCTACACCTCTGATGGTCTACACCTCTGATGGTCTACACCTCTGACACCTCTGATGGTCTACACCTCTGATGGTCTACACCTCTGATGGTCTACACCTCTGACACCTCTGATGGTCTACACCTCTGATGGTCTACACCTCTGATGGTCTACACCTCTGATGGTCTACACCTCTGATGGTCAACACCTCTGAGGGTCTACACCTCTGATGGTCTACACCTCTGATGGTCTACACCTCTGATGGTCTACACCTCTGATGGTCTACACCTCTGATGGTCTACACGTTGTATGAAGAAAAACAAATGGCCAAAGTTAAAAAGTTTATTGAGATTAAAAAACACAATGCAGGTAGGTCAATTTGACATGAATGACGTCATGGTTTCTTTACGAAAGTTATGTACATTTTAATTGTGTTTTTTTTTAATGCCAAATAATAATTAAGGTTTTATCTCAATGTACAAGCAAAAACAAAATGATAAAATTACAAGCACTCCATGAAAAATGAGGTTCTATGATAAAATTACAAGCATATGTCGTGGAAGATAAAGTTCTAAAAAACTTAAATTTGTTTTTTTCTTTTTAAAAATGTTTTACAAAAATAAGATTTTATGTGTAAGTAACTTGTGAAATATGTGAATAGACACAATTTAGTTCAAACGTGATTAGACAAGATGTCTTGGAGTTGAGCTATTGAGTGGGTTGGCAACTTAACAAAAGCCAACCCGACTGGTTGGTTGGTGAAGGCTTTATGAACAAACGTGAATACATGATAGTTCTCTGCTAGATGACTGAACCCATCAGTCGAGTGTCTGGGTGATGGCACGGTGAGTTCATATCATCTCAGTCTCAGTGCTACACTACATTATACCATACAATAATGCGATACAATAATGCGATACAATAATGCGATGCTGAAATGTATGACTGTCCTAAAAAAATCAATCTATGGGATGTAGTGTTGAGTAGGAATGGGTGGACGGAATGATTTTCATTATGTTTTAGGTGAGTTGATCAAAAAGTGTTAACAGGTTTTGGGTGAGTTGATCAAAAAGTGTTAACAGTACTTGAAATGTTAACGTTACAGTTAACAGGAGCGGACGTGACTGGTAAGTATTGCTGTCTGAAATGGACGTTATGGAGTGTTGGCTTTGGGAAATCCTACACCATAATACTGGTTCGGTGGTTGTATTTGATAGTGGCATGTTTACAAAACTGGTTCGATGGTTGTATTTGATAGTGGCATGTTTACAAAACTGGTTCGATGGTTGTATTTGATAGTGGCATGTTTACAAAACTGGTTCGATGGTTGTATTTGATAGTGGCATGTTTACAAAACTGGTTCGATGGTTGTATTTGATAGTGGCATGTTTACAAAACTGGTTCGATGGTTGTATTTGATAGTGGCATGTTTACAAAACTGGTTCGATGGTTGTATTTGATAGTGGCATGTTTACAAAACTGGTTCGATGGTTGTATTTGATAGTGGCATGTTTACAAAACTGGTTCGATGGTTGTATTTGATAGTGGCATGTTTACAAAACTGGTTTGATGGTTGTATTTGATAGTGGCATGTTTACAAAACTGGTTCGATGGTTGTATTTGATAGTGGCATGTTTACAAAACTGGTTTGATGGTTGTATTTGATAGTGGCATGTTTACAAAACTGGTTTGATGGTTGTATTTGATAGTGGCATGTTTACAAAACTGGTTCGATGGTTGTATTTGATAGTGGCATGTTTACAAAACTGGTTCGATGGTTGTATTTGATAGTGGCATGTTTACAAAACTGGTTCGATGGTTGTATTTGATAGTGGCATGTTTACAAAACTGGTTTGATGGTTGTATTTGATAGTGGCATGTTTACAAAACTGGTTTGATGGTTGTATTTGATAGTGGCATGTTTACAAAACTGGTTTGATGGTTGTATTTGACAGTGGCATGTTTACAAAACTGGTTTGATGGTTGTATTTGATAGTGGCATGTTTACAAAACTGGTTTGATGGTTGTATTTGATAGTGGCATGTTTACAGAAGATTTTGGTCAAGTTAAATCGTCCGAGTTTTCACAGTGTATTTAATACAGGGCAGAAGCTTATAAGATGGCGTCTTCTGTTTGCCTATGACTTTTGTAACTAAATAAAAATTAACACTTGTCATGCTTTAAATCCACAAGTATTAAATAAAAAGTGTCTGCAAACTATCAAGTATTTTTTTCCTACATGCATTTTTTAATAACATGTATCATCTGTATCTAACATCCACACATCCACAAAATCCAGATTTGCCGTGTACCGTCTAACATCAACAAAATCCAGGTTTGTATGTGTCTAGCATTGGTCTATAAAGTACAATCGTCTTCAATCTTTGATATGTTTGGATTTAATACTACAGCGACAAGTTAGTATGGGGAGGGGAGCGCAAATAAACACATGATCAAAATTGAATTGCAACAATTCTCGTCAATATGATATGTTGGTAGGTGGGGTGGGTGGTTATGTCACAGACTTGTGGGGGGGGGGATGTGTCAAAGACGTGGTAGGTTGGGGTGGTGTATATGTGACGTGGTGGGTTGGGGTGGTGTGACGTGGTAGGTTGGGGTGGTGTATATGTGACGTGGTAGGTTGGGGTGGTGTATGTGACGTGGTAGGTTGGGGTGGTGTATATGTGACGTGGTAGGTTGGGGTGGTGTATATGTGACGTGGTAGGTTGGGGTGGTGTATATGTGACGTGGTAGGTTGGGGTGGTGTATATGTGACGTGGTAGGTTGGGGTGGTGTATGTGACGTGGTAGGTTGGGGTGGTGTATATGTGACGTGGTAGGTTGGGGTGGTGTATATGTGACGTGGTAGGTTGGGGTGGTGTATGTGACGTGGTGGGTTGGGGTGGTGTGACGTGGTAGGTTGGGGTGGTGTATATGTGACGTGGTAGGTTGGGGTGGTGTATGTGCCCTGGTAGGTTGGGTTGGTGTATGTGACGTGGTAGGTTGGGATGGTGTATATGTGACGTGGTAGGTTGGGGTGGTGTATATGTGACGTGGTAGGTTGGGGTGGTGTATGTGACGTGGTAGGTTGGGGTGGTGTATATGAACTGGTAGGTTGGTGTGGTGTATGTAACGTGGTAGGTTGGTGTGGTGTATGTAACGTGGTAGGTTGGGGTGGTGTATGTGACGTGGTGGGTTGGGGTGGTGTATGTGACGTGGTAGGTTGGGGTGGTGTATGTGACGTGGTAGGTTGGGGTGGTATATGTGACGTGGTAGGTTGGGGTGGTGTATGTGACCTGGTAGGTTGGGGTGGTGTATGTGACCTGGTAGGTTGGGGTGGTGTATGTGACGTGGTAGGTTGGGGTGGTGTATGTGACGTGGTAGGTTGGGGTGGTGTATGTGACGTGGTAGGTTGGGGTGGTGTATGTGACGTGGTAGGTTGGGCGACATGCAGTAGTTTGACAATTATACACATGTTTAGTGACGTAATAAGAAAGCTGAAAACATGGAACAAAACAAAGCCCTTAATAAAGTGAATGGAGATTTAATTTCTTTTGAAACCAAATGTTAAAAAGTTGGAAACAAACAAGCTGAAAGGGAGAGCATGCTGGTACATAACAATTGGCGATGAATACAAAGTGTCACAGGCTAGTGATCATAGCACATTCAATTCTTTCATGCCAGCCAAAACTGAAAACATATTTACAATAAATCTTCCACAGCCCAAGTCAAAGTCGATCAAAAGTAACACAACTAAAATGTAATACAATCAGAAGTAACACAATCAAAGGTAATACAATAAAAAATAATCAATTCTTAACAAAACGATAATGGTTTGATCTACATCTTAAAGTTTTAAACTGCTGAAGGTTAAGATAACCCACAGAATCAAATACAGAAGGCACCCATTGTGCCGGACTATACAGACGTTTTTAACTCGACATAGTCTTAATATTGATGTCAGAAAACAAATCTTTGAAGTGACAAAAAGACGCATGTATTTCTCTACATTATGTTAGACTAAAACAAGTCATCATTGAAGGCAAATAAAGCTAAACATGTGAGTTCAAACTAAATGGACATGTCAGGTTATGGACATATAAACATTTGGAGATCATTGAATTGAAAACAATCACTAAATCAGCTCTATGTACAAGGACTTTCCATGTAGATTGATGTGGTTACAATTTATAAATCATGGGGGAAAAATAATAGTATCAATAGTAGATTCATTGTATCAATAGCACAATGGTTGTATCAATAGCACAACGGTTGTATCAATAGCAAAATCCAGTTGCTTAAGGCCCCCGTTTGTATCTATAGGGTAAGTCGGGCTGCTGGAACTAGACAAGGCTTCATCCCACCAGTGTGGACTGGAATACAAGCTTAGCTGGTCACGTGGTTTGCTGGGGTTGCTATGGGAGCGACACGTCAACCACCTAGCTCCAAGTTATCTTAGTGCGACAGTCAATGTGTGTGTGGGGGGGGGGGGGTGAGACGGGAGGTGAACACAAACAGCACCATAAGCACAATCACGTAAACATAGAGACCAATTGTTCGTCTCAAGGTACGACAACCCTGAGCTCACACAACAGGGGGCGCTCCTGACTAGTATTTGGTGGGAGTCTCCTGCCCGGCTCTGTAGCCTACATGTAGGGAAGGACTCCCCCCGCTCCCGCTATGTGAGGCTTCAACTTGTGAAAGACACGTGAGACTAGGGTGGTGCAAGCCAGCACTCCAAAAAAAACTTAGGCACCAAATTGTAGGCAATGCAAGCCAGCACTCCAAAAAAACTTAGGCACCAAATTGTAGGCAATGCAAGCCAGCACTCCAAAAAAAAACCTAGGCACCCAATATTATTTAACTGTCGTCACATTTGTTTCGATCATCAGTTGCTATAAGCCAGCAAACTTTTGAGGTTTAAAATTAAGGCAACTTTAATTTCTCAAAAAATAAATACATCAATAAGCTCACATTTGAGAATAAAATTTCCGATACTTAAAATTGATATTGCACTTGGATTCAGCTTGAGACTCTAACGTACAGCGGTGGGAGTGGTGAGACCAATATGGTCGTGATCTCACTTCCGGTGTTACAACGTCAGGACGTTACAACGTCAGGACGTTACAACGTCAGGACGTTACAACGTCAGGACGTTACAACGTCAGGACGTTACAACGTCAGGACGTTACAACGTCAGGACGTTACAACGTCAGGACGTTACAACGTCAGGACGTTACAACGTCAGGACGTTACAACGACTAGAGTCCATGTCTGCTGCTGGTGCCTGCTCTAGCGGGAAAGACATCAAGGGGCGGAAATATGGAGGGGTCATGTAGTTGTATAGAGGGGTGACCTCACCCTACAGCAGGGTGGGGGGGGGGGTTACCCCGCCCTAAAGCAGGGTGGGGAGGGGAGCTACAATCTGACAATAAACTTTTTTTTCGCGCTAATCAAAAGAAACATTTTCCTACAGGTAAACTTTTTTCACGCTAATAAAAATAAAACATTTTCCTACAGGTAAACTTTTCTAAGAGCAAAAGTTTTGACCGAGTTTTCTAGTGGGATTAAAGAAATAACAAGAATAAATGTGAGACAGCTAGCAGCTCAACAAAGGTTTCTGGTTGAGTGAAGAGGGAAACAATAGACTGGGTGACATGGGCTTGCTGCGTCTAATACTCGTCTAAAACTTAATGCATAGAAACTATGTACACACGGAGGACAGGTGTACGCATGGTGTACAGGCATTAGTGCCATGTGGAATGTGGCGTGGTTTGTATATGCTAGTTGACTACACTACAAACTGCTCCAGTCAACTTTTAAATCGCACTAGATACATGCATGACTTTTGGATGTGACTGTAGAAGAAATGAGAAAAAGTGTAAAAAAAAATGAACATCAATATCAACATTGTAAAAGTAAACAAAACCAAAGAACATCCCCTGAATAGCTTGAAATGTCTGAGTTAACCTAGGATGTACAAGTTCAATACAACAACATGTGCTCGGTTAGTGCTGTCTAGACTCCAAGGTCAAGGATTTGTTGCAGTGCTCATTGAGGTCGACGTTTGAAGGATGGAACCAAGCAGTCGATGGACAAATGGAACTCTGGTGCACGGAGACCACAGTACGTGGCAGTTGTTGCACACACAAGCGGCCAAATGTGAGCTTTCTCAACACACCAACAAGTGACGTCAGACAGCTCAAAGTAGGCGGGGCAATAGCTGAGGTCACGTGATTGAAGCTGATCCAACGTGCTCGTCATGAAGTTGGTGCACTAGTCATGAAGTTGGTGCACTAGTCATGAAGTTGGTGCACCAGTCATGAAGTTGGTGCACCAGTCATGAAGTTGGTGCACCAGTCATGAAGTTGGTGCACTAGTCATGAAGTTGGTGCACCAGTCATGAAGTTGGTGCACTAGTCATGAAGTTGGTGCACCAGTCAGCTGAAAACAATTTGGCTTTGGTAGGGTTGAGGTTACTCACTCCGACGTCCCAGAGGTCAGCTTAAATGTATGTCCTTAACCTTTGAGCCGTCGTCAATGGGCCGTGGGCCCCTGACTGCTGGCTCCCTCTGCTGGCCCCGCCTGCTGGTCGGACAGGTCAACTGATGAGCCGCTGCGTGGTAGGCTGACCCGGCGTCCAGTGGCCTCCCGCCACAGCCACTGAAGTCGTCTGATCACCCCGCTCTGTCCCCGGGCAGAGGGGTAGGAGGAGGGGTGGCCGTCAAACAGTTCCTCATTGACGGGGCTCTGTGGGGAGAAACAAATAAATGGTCTAGGCGAGCTCATAATAATGGCTATTAAACACATAGATCGTTATCGTTTCTGGAGATGTTTCAATGAAACAAGCACCCCTGGACTAAAACCAAACCTCAAGCACCCCTCGACTTAAACCAAACCACAATCAAACACAAATGCTACAGTGCCAGCTTGATTAGCTACAGATTGTAAACTACGAGTAAGGCTTTGATGACATAAACCACCTACAGTGTTCATGCATTGGCCATTTTTTGCGAGATAGTTCAATTCTTGTGCTAGATAGTTCAATTATTGTGCTAGATAGTTCAATTCTTGTGCTAGATAGTTCAATTCTTGTGCTAGATAGTTCAATCCTTGTGCTAGATAGTTCAATTCTTGTGCTAGATAGTTCAATTCGTGAGCTAGATAGTTCAATTCTTGTGCTAGATAGTTCAATTCAAGACTTAATCGAGTGAGCTATGTTGGGACCCAATAAATAGTTTAGTAACTAACATGCGTGCAACAAGACAAACAGTGAGGACTACTGACCAATCGTCTGAAGGCTACGAAACTGAAGTTGAATTCGTCACTCATCCTCCTGAGCTCCCTCCCCACCTGTCGCCCAGCCTCTGCCGTCCTCTCTGCTCTCTGCAGGGCGTGGAAGTCGGGCACGGAGTGGGACCGGTCACGTCCCATGGTAGGTATGATGTCAGGTAAGGGGGCGGAGCTAGAATGGAGCCCCAAATGGACACCACTCTCTGAAGAGCGACGTCGCAAGGTCGCGGCGGCTGTTCCTGAAATGACGAAACAAACGCTTTTTGATTGGCTGTTTCTTACGTCTATCTGGTATATGTGGGTCAGTGTTACGAACCAACGTTGCTACATTTTTAAAAAATTACAAATATAAAAAAACCCGCTAGATCTGGGTGACGCATTAAAGAAACACATGTAAGTCGTAAGAGGAAACTTCTTTAAAACAATCTTGACGTAATCACTTCACTCAAGTGTTTACCACTGTCAACAACAGCAGTGCAGTGCTGGGCACATGTAAACAATTATTAACAAAGACCTTGAGTCAACAATCTACCAGAGACACACAAACAATAATGGAAACTTAACCAACATTACAAACACACTAGAATCCTGCGATGGGGAAAATATAGACACGCGTGCGGAAATGGGCTATCGGGATTATTCAGAATGGCACGGTCACTGTAACCGATCTTTCTAAAATGCGAAACGAGAAATGACAGGGCGGTAAAATGCGAAACATACCTGCGGAATTACATTTTTTTCATGCTTGTTTTTCTGGAACTAGAATCTGGGTCTAGATTTTTTTTAATATACAAAAGTTATGCCAATTTTAAATATCGTTGCTGCAGGAAGGCCGACTCACGTTTTCTTGTCAATGGGAGAAAAATCTTGTTTCGGTCGAGGGGTCACTTGTAGTTCAGATTAGTTAAGATATCAGTAGGCCCATAGCATACGTCATAAAGATCGGTATCTAATTTGTCAACAATGTCACGTGACAGTTTTCGCACCCTTCTCGCATTTTACCGCCTCGCCATTTCGCGTCTCGCATTTTAACTAGACCCCACTATTACCACGACCGATAGTGAGACCTTATAAAAATGTATAGAAACAAACAAGGTGTGTCTTGCTATTCCTCAATGGTAAGGCTCCAGGTGTTACTAATCTGTACCTACACGAGTATGTCACTCTGGTAATCTCTCTCTCTCACTCACTACTCAATTTAATATTCGCACCTCAGTGACCCTCTGTGCTCCAGAAAAACCGGACGGAATTTCTTTTTTCAACCTAGGGTTTAGTCAGTTAGTGCCCCCACAGCTGTCACCCCTCAAAGTGTGAACAATGGACTCAACCATGTGTAAAATGTAAGTCATTTGTTCCAACATGGGGCACACGGTGTATTTCATCAGTCCCGTGCGTACTAGTATGGTCATACCTTGATCTTCAATTAGATGGGGTTTTTTTTTCTGCGGTTAATTCTTCATGCATGAGTAAACCTGGTGAGCCAGCGTGAGCCGCACATTGTGCAGGCCATACCCGGCTCCTTCCTGCTTGTGCACGTGTCACTCTATGGATAACGTCTAAGTGAGATTTGGTTAAAGCTTTTGTAGAAACCCACCAAACTCGTTTCTGTGATAAGCTTCTCAATACATGCAGGCAAAAGAAAACATTGAGCATAAAGCAAGTATTTGTTTGATGTTGTGTTCACAAGGACATAATGACAGGATCTGTGTATAAACATAGAAGGTCGATTGCTGCAAAGTTCAGGGGTTAGGGCTGACACACTCAATCACACCCCAGTAGTTGTACTGTCACAAACAGATCCATTTATGTCTTACCACCACACACATCAACTGATCCAGGTCTGACCTACCACCACACATCAACTGATCTAGGTCTGACCTACCACCCCACACATCAACTGATCCAGGTCTGACCTACCACCCCACACATCAACTGATCCAGGTCTGACCTACCACCACACACATCAACTGATCCAGGTCTGACCTACCACCCCACACATCAACTGATCCAGGCCTGACCTACCACCACACACATCAACTGATCCAGGTCTGACCTACCACCCCACACATCAACTGATCTAGGTCTGACCTACCACCACACACATCAACTGATCTAGGTCTGACCTACCACCCCACACATCAACTGATCTAGGTCTGACCTACCACCCCACACATCAACTGATCTAGGTCTGACCTACCACCCCACACATCAACTGATCTAGGTCTGACCTACCACCCCACACATCAACTGATCTAGGTCTGACCTACCACCCCACACATCAACTGATCTAGGTCTGACCTACCACCCCACACATCAACTGATCTAGGTCTGACCTACCACCCCACACATCAACTGATCCAGGTCTGACCTACCACCCCACACATCAACTGATCCAGGTCTGACCTACCACCCCACACATCAACTGATCCAGGTCTGACCTACCACCACACATCAACTGATCCAAGTCTGACCTACCACCCCACACATCAACTGATCCAGGTCTGACCTACCACCCCACACATCAACTGATCCAGGTCTGACCTACCACCCCACACATCAACTGATCTAGGTCTGACCTACCACCCCACACATCAACTGATCCAGGTCTGACCTACCACCCCACACAACTGATCTAGGTCTGACCTACCACCCCACACATCAACTGATCCAGGTCTGACCTACCACCCCACACATCAACTGATCCAGGTCTGACCTACCACCCCACACATCAACTGATCCAGGTCTGACCTACCACCCCACACATCAACTGATCCAGGTCTGACCTACCACCCCACACATCAACTGATCTAGGTCTGACCTACCACCAGGTAACACTGACCCACACACACGTTTTAGCTAGCCTCATGTGTGAAGGCCCCTTAAGCTTGATCCCTGCGATTTACGGTTTCACTTTTTTCATGACCGACTTTTCTTCTCGTTCCTAGGTCATCGTAACCTGGATTTAATAATGCAAATGGCGGTCACACAAGTTGGGTAACAGATTCAGTGGAGCTTGGTGGAGTGGTTGGGCTACAGATTCAGTGGAGCTTGGTGGAGTGGTTGGGCTACAGATTCAGTGGAGCTTGGTGGAGTGGTTGGGCTACAGATTCAGTGGAGCTTGGTGGAGTGGTTGGGCTACATATTCAGTGGAGCTTGGTGGAGTGGTTGGGCTACAGATTCAGTGGAGCTTGGTGGAGTGGTTGGGCTACAGATTCAGTGGAGCTTGGTGGAGTGGTTGGGCTACATATTCAGTGGAGCTTGGTGGAGTGGTTGGGCTACAGATTCAGTGGAGCTTGGTGGAGTGGTTGGGCTACATATTCAGTGGAGCTTGGTGGAGTAGTTGGGCTACAGATTCAGTGGAGCTTGGTGGAGTGGTTGGGCTACATATTCAGTGGAGCTTGGTGGAGTAGTTGGGCTACAGATTCAGTGGAGCTTGGTGGAGTGGTTGGGCTACAGATTCAGTGGAGCTTGGTGGAGTGGTTGGTCTACAGATTCAGTTTAGCTTGGTGGAGTGGTTGGGCTACAGATTCAGTGGAGCTTGGTGGAGTGGTTGGGCAACAGATTCAGTGGAGCTTGGTGGAGTGGTTGGGCTACAGATTCAGTGGAGCTTGGTGGAGTGGTTGGGCTACAGATTCAGTGGAGCTTGGTGGAGTGGTTGGGCAACAGATTCAGTGGAGCTTGGTGGAGTGGTTGGGCAACAGATTCAGTGGAGCTTGGTGGAGTGGTTGGGCAACAGATTCAGTGGAGCTTGGTGGAGTGGTTGGGCTACATATTCAGTGGAGCTTGGTGGAGTGGTTGGGCAACAGATTCAGTGGAGCTTGGTGGAGTGCACGAGCTTTTAACTTATAAGTCTAACCATAACTAAGTGGTGCAGTCATGTCTAACTTACAAATTCTAACCTAAACACCCACTAAAGCAAGAATTGTCCTGAACGTTCAAACATCTTCCAGCATGTAACAAAACATGAAAGTAAAATGGCAGCAAGTTGAGGCGGGGGGGGGGTAATTGAGCTACAGCTGACAGTAAGATTCATTACCAACACTAACCTGACCCCCACGCCCCCAACCCACCGTCGAGTGAAAGGATCTTCTTTCAAGATGGGGAATAGGAACATTATAAACTTCAGTGCTCATTGCACATTCAAACAGATTTTTTGTTTAAATGCTGAGCTCCATAGCGAGGTGAACGAATGTTTAGTTTAAATGTGAAACAGGTCACACCAAACAGAAAAAAAAATGGGTGTGGTTTTTAGCCAATAACTAGAACCTAAGTTACACGTTCGCTTGTTAAGCTGGATAAAAAAAAAACGGACTATCATTGGAGGGTTGGTTCACACTTTTAGAGCAATAGGCCTAGCGGATTTTCCCAATTTTACCAGCACAGATTCACGAATGTCTGCACCAGTTTTACACACCACAAAGAGACGACGCCAAAAATTTACTGCGCAGTTTCTGACACGCATGATGAGACCGCGCTTACGCTTACTTATCTCGAATAGTTGTTATCAAGTGTTTTTTTTTTCTTAACCTGTTTCATGTTTGAGATTGAAGAACAGCTTTCCTTGGCTATAAAAATCTAGTTGGTGTGTAAAGTCAGTCCCAGAACTTGCAAGTAGGCCTACTGTGGCCAAAACTACAGCTGTCCGTAGGGTAGTTACAGGGGTCGTCTGGGGAACTAGTCGAGTAGATACAGGGGTCGTCTGGGGAACTGGTCGGGTAGTTACAGGGGTCGTCTGGGGAACTAGTCGAGTAGATACAGGGGTCGTCTGGGGAACTGGTCGGGTAGTTACAGGGGTCGTCTGGGGAACTAGTCGAGTAGATACAGGGGTCGTCTGGGGAACTAGTCGAGTAGATACAGGGGTCGTCTGGGGAACTAGTCGAGTAGATACAGGGGTCGTCTGGGGAACTAGTCGGGTAGTTACAGGGGTCGTCTGGGGGACTAGTCGGGTAGTTACAGGGGTCGTCTGGGGAACTAGTCGGGTAGTTACAGGGGTCGTCTGGGGAACTAGTCGGGTAGATACAGGGGTCGTCTGGGGAACTGGTCGGGTAGTTACAGGGGTCGTCTGGGGAACTAGTCGGGTAGATACAGGGGTCGTCTGGGGAACTAGTCGGGTAGATACAGGGGTCGTCTGGGGAACTGGTCGAGTAGATACAGGGGTCGTCTGGGGAACTAGTCGAGTAGATACAGGGGTCGTCTGGGGAACTAGTCGAGTAGATACAGGGGTCGTCTGGGGAACTAG